CGTTTTTAATAACACCCAAACTAATAAAAGAAGAGCAGATCTGAATTTTGATTTATGAATATTGCACAGCAGCGGGAGCAATCCGAAATAAAGAGCACTGTCTCTTACATCAACGTATTTTGGAGGGGAAAAGTGTCACATTAAAGGACATGTCTTATTTGTGTATTGGGTGTTGCTATGCTTTGTTAGCCAAGCCATGCAAAGAAGTCACAATTTTATAAAACAGTCTTAAGTGGTGATTTCCAAACTCTATGTTGCAGCACATAAATGTTCTGGGAGAGGCCATCGCATAAATTACAACATTTCTTTCACTAAACAAAATTTCAAAATTGATTTACTACGACTAATGTATCTTTGCTCATCAATCTATAGCAGTGACACAAAATGACACACAGACCCATGAATTGCTGATCTTGGAGATGGGAGGAAGTACTGTGTTTGGTGTTGTACCAAGACTTTTTTCACATTTCGGATATGTGCTTTGGCGAAACAAAGGTTCAAATTCATTTACCGAAATTGAAAGAGAAATTCTTTTTTGAGAATAATGAAATATTTTTTGAGTTATGGAATAAAGTCAAAATATTTGGAGAGAATGTTTGTTCTGTTATGATAATAACAATAATGAAGTGTGTATATTCTCTCTCTCTCTCTCTCTCTCTCTCTGTGTGTGTGTGTGTGTGTGTGTGTGTGTGTGTGTGTGTATATGCTGAGCAAATAAAGCTGCCATTTTATGAAGTGACATAATGATGCGAGAATAGTCCAAACATCAAACTTAATTTTACTCAATTAAGCCATACTACTTCAAGTCAAGAAAACATACTGCTACAAGACCAAAATTGGAATATTATGAGGAAAAAGTTGTAATATTAAAAGAATGTTTTTGTTCGGAAAAAAATAGAGCCCCACTACTCCAAATATTTTCAGAATATTGTATTCATTCTTAAGTGGGAGATGGTGAACCAAGGAGTAGCTACAAACAAACAGACAAAAATCCTAATTATTTTTAAATTTATGTATTTATTTATTGCTACATAATGAAATTACACAGGGAAAAATGTAATGTTTTTTTTTTGTAAAATAAACAAGTCACCCTTAAAAATAAACAATTGCAGTGGTGGGCTGATCGAAACTAAAGTTGCTCTGGCCACCAGTGGAATGAGATTGTTGTTTTAGTTTCGGTTTGTCTCCTGCAACAAAGAAAAAGTACTCGCAGTTACCACCAACCACGTATCATTGAGACAACTTCTCAATTATTGTAACTTTCACTGTCTTCCTATTTTTTTGATACCTCAAATGACTGAAGCATCAAAAGTATTGATATTTTGAGTTGAGAATCGATGATCCAGCATACAAATCAGGTAGCCAAGGCATTGACATTTTTGCATCGATCCGCATATCACTCTTATTTACATGGTATGTGATCAATACCAATCTTGCACACCACTAATATCCTTACATCGTGGCCGTATATTATTCAATTATTAATTTTTTTTCTCGAAAATGGTGATTCATTTTGCACTGACTGCTTTTGCTAGTTCAAATAACACTGCAACAAACGCTTGTCCCGAGGTGTCACTCATCCTGCCACGGTCATATTTTGTCTTGGCCAAGGTTAAATGATACAATGTCACTCCTTCACGACAGCGACTTCACGAAGGCCCATAATTTCCCTCCTGTGTCGACGGCATTCCACCGCTCACTTTTTCAAACCAGCCTCCATCCCAACAGACTTGCTGTGTAAATTCGGACTCCCGCTGGAGCTGTGACTGTCACTCGCTGCCCCTCCAGTGCCAGGCATTGATCGTCATATATATCTTGTTCTCTACTTCCTGAACCTTCATCAACAGATGTGACTGCAGAATTGATTACCGGCGAGTCAATGACGGAACTCTCTTCGGAAACATTTTTATTTATGTATGTGTTTATGTGGATAGCTTAGAGGGCCATTAGCGGGATTACCTTTGAGACTTGGCAGAACAACAGATGTTCAAGGACGGCTCAATCAATTTGAGGCTGCCGTTGCTGGAAACCGGTCATGCGTCTGCGAGGGTGGATAGAAGCTCGAGAAGAACACTGCAGCAACACTTAGGCGGAGACAGATATTTAGGCGGCTGTCCCCAAACTACAACTCTAAATGAAGAGGGATAGTCCTGAAAAAATCGACGTAGTCTCGCCACACACTGAGCAAATGCCAATGAAGTGCCACGCAGTGTGTGGGGTCGTTGGATGGTTGCGCTGCGATTGGCTGGCAACCGGTTCAGGGTGTCCCCCGCCTACTGCCCGAAGACAGCTGGGATATTGTCCAGCACCCCCCCCGCGACCCTCATGAGGATAAAGCGGTTTGGAATATGAATGATTGAATGAGTCTGACATTGTCTGGTGTGAACGCTAGGTGGCCAGCTTTGAGTGGCTCGCGATTGTTCGGTTCAGTTGCGTTTGGTCACGGCTACCTTTAAATGACTGCATCGGAACATTGAATTTAATCAACCAAAGTGAGAGCCGGCAGCATGGTGGTCAACTGGTTAGCACGACGGCCTCAGAGTGCAAAGGTTGTGGGTTTGATTCCCATCCCGTCCTACCTGTGTGAAATTTGTATATTCTCTCTGTGCCTGTGTGGGTTCTCCCCGGCTACTCTGGTTTCACCCCAAAAGCATGCATCTCATTATGGTCTACGTGTATTAAAGTCCTAATAAAGTGAAATTATAGATCTGTTTCGAAATACATGTTTGAAGATAATCACTGAAAATATGCAGACTGAAAACTCTGTAGTGCTGAATTGTGGCGATATATGCATCCCACTGTTTTTCACCTTTTCTTCCGTCATTATTTTCTGGGCGTGGCTTGAACCGCGCCCCATGACACACTTGTGGCAGCGGTCAACTTTCACATTATAGCCACACTAATGACTTGACGTTGGCTTGTGCGCTTATTTCATGATCATACGCCACAGTAATTGTTCCAGAAGGCGGGCCTCCTAAATCCTATGTATTATTGTTATTATATATTATTATTATTATTATTATGAAAGTGATTTTGCAAGATGTGAGCCATAGTTTTCCTACTGCACGTATACATTGCTGTCGACAGTGGTGGCATGTAATTGATAGTTAACAGTTGAGCGGGGTGAGGTTCAGCGCGCACGTCGGACACGCCTGCAGCATTTGAGGGCGCAGACAGTGGAATGATTTTTCACTAATTTCAAGCCTCATTCTATACATTGGGCAAGTTAATTATTACTTGATGACGCTCTTCAATGTGGGTGGTCACATGCTCAAATTTGAACATAATCCATGCGATCATATTTCTCAAGAAATTGCACATTTCATTTATTTTATCGTGTTGTGTACATTTCGGTGTGCCTGGCTTGACGATCATTTTTGATCTTTTGTTCCAAATCTGGGGGTAAACAAGTGCACCTCAATGAAATCAGTTGATCAAGGCATCAATAAACCCCCAAAACTGACAGCACACAATTCTGTCGCCGTATGCGTTTGAGCGTCTTGAAAAATCACTATCAGCGTCAAACACAAGCAGCGTTTTAATGTAGCTCCCGTAAGTATGAACCATATTTAATAGCTTGTTAATTAAATCTCTCCCATTCTGAGCAGAAAGGCCTTGGTTGTAAGTAAAAGATTATCAAGCAGCCGCAGCCTCGAGTAAAGACCAATTCCATTTATGCAGAGGAGCACATTTAATTACACAGGCGTCCCTATTAAATTCAAATGAATGTTTTGATACGGATATTTTTCATTACAGAGTCAAATAATCTCAATTCAGCGTAAACTGAGAAAATCACGCTCTTCTTCAATTTTGTGAATCAAAAGTGTTGCACCCCGATCTGCCAGTCAAGTTGGCGCTTTCTTATCGGCCGGGCGCTTATTAAAATTAAGTCACGACGCAAACTGGTATTTAAAAAGTTTAAGTGAAACAATTTGCATTGGGAGTGCACAAAAATGCTAATGCGCCCTCCTTCGCTAAGCCGCCAAATCGCTGTCATCCATTTTGGGCGCTGATTGCTTTCCGCCCGGATGCCTTCATTTCATTATTGCGAAAATTACAAACATAAAGAATATCTCTGTAATATTCCCGCTTTTTGTCAACGCTCAATCAACCGTAATGTCCTAATTTTTTTCCCGCTGCCAAACTCATTTTATATTATCTTGCCGGGTGTCCCTGAAGGGATTTATTTCATTTATCGGGATTATTGAATTAAATTAAACGAGACACACTTAGCACAAGCAGAACAGTGGTACCTTATCCGCGGCGAGAGGCGAGGCCCGGCTCTTTACTGCTATTTAGGCAAGCACATTAAGCGGCCATGCCTTTTGTTGCCAAGCCACCACGACTGAATAATTCATTCATTTGGAAAACTGTAACATAAGTGGAAAGGTTGACTGTGAGCGAATTGATTCGTTTAATTCAGAAACTTTACAACCGCATGCAGTCACAAAACGAATGGCGTTGTTTTACAAGGAGGGGACACTTTGAACTCATTTTTAAATTTAGCATGTTATTTTAGCATTTTTCAGGAATTCAGCATTTTTGAGCGGGCTCTAGATGTACCACCAAGTGGGCCCAATTTGAGCACTTTTTTTCTCCAATTCCAAGTGTTGCGTCAACACCAAGTTTGACTGAGCTCAGTTCTAAAATAAATATATCAAATATACATATAAAGTAAGTACAGTTTGGCCTGTACACAAATGCAGTAAATAAATGACGTTTTCAGTGAGGATGGGTTAAAAATATTAAAAATGAAAAAAAAAACCACAACTATGTGAATTTGCTAATTTTACTGCTCTTTGTATTTCCTGGCAGTCTGGATGGCCTGTGGCACCACACTGCCTCTCACAGGTCAACCTTGGTACTATGCGATACCATTCGACGACAGCACAAAACTGTCAAATAAGAAACCACTATTAAGTGCAAGAAGTAATCTTGTACATTTTTCACAAACATCAGTTCACTCAAAATGTTTGCATATCATTCCACAACCACAAAAAAATATATATTAGGCCTACTCACGTAATAGTATAGGACAGTATACGACACAGTGTAAGCGCAACTTAAAGATGTCTGCCATCTAGCGGTGATATTACAAACTAAAACAAGAGTTGACCCCTGCATTTTCGCAGTTCAGCACCCACAGATTTTGGAAACACATACAGGTACATGTATTTTTTTTTTCACATTTGGTGCCATTTGAAAACCAGTGGGCGTGCAACTCCTCAACTCAACAGCAGATGGCAGCCTGTTTCCATTGTTGACGCTGTCGTTCTCCTTCCAGAACTCACAGTCCAGCGTGAGCAATGCATTCCCAGTACTCTACTAAAGTCTTTTTCAGCTGCCCGCTTCCATGGCCAAACCAGGGAGCGAACGTGGCCACTTGGCACCATGAGAACCGCAACCGCCATGTGAGGTCTCCAATGCCCGGGTGCCCAGTCTTGACCGATGATCTGCATACAACACACCTGTGAGTTTACCCTCCATCCTCCCCTCGTTTTGGCAAATTAGCACACAATCTTGAGTGAGCGGCCGGATGCGGCGAAAGACTGAAATAACAGAGCGGGTTGACGACCATGCCAATCACACACGTCTCCCAGCTCATGTCAACAAGTTCAGGGCTTTGTTTGGAAACCGCCAAACGCTCGCAAACGTGTTTTATCAGCAAAAGAAAGGCAAAAAGATGAATTCGGTTGCTAACATATTTTGATCATTCTTTGCCGTCGCATTCTGCTTGCGACACAATGCCATCATCACTTTAAAACAAAACTCTTATATTTTATATTTAAGTTCTATTAATTTTTGTGAAAAAAAAATATACTACTGAGAATTATCGTAAAACAAACAAACATACAGTTGAGCAATCACTGTAAATATCTCTACAACGGCAAGTTTTAAACTCAGATTTATAAATATTGACCCATTAGTTCATAATATTTTTATTCATGCAAAAAAAAATCACAAAAGGTTGGTACAATTATTAAAATAATACTTAAATACTGCATGCACAGATATTACATGCCAGGAAAATAAATGCCAACTTCACAATAGTGGTTTCACACTCATTCATCCATTCTGTAGCGTCATGCTTGTCACCCTCTGCAGTTAAATAAATAAATGTGTCCCCATTGATGATTTAAATTTTTACAAATATAGTCCATTCATACTATAGTAGATTATCACAATTATTAAAAATGATTGCAATACAACCTGCAATTGAGTGGCAACCCCTCGCCTACTGCCCGAAAACAGCTGGGACAGGCTCCAGAATGCCCGCGACCCTTGTGATAATAAGCGGATTAGAAAATGGATGGATGGATGGATGGATGTAATCCAATGAAAAATTTATTTTTGTTGACATATTGTTAAATGCTTGGACCCTCTCAGAAAAAGGAAGGGAATTTAGTTTTAAATCTTGATTCATTTGTATAGTACAGTTCCTTTCATGATATACTAATTTATATATTACAAAGACGTATATGGAAGTGTACAGTGACTTTCCCGGTAGATATATAAATTTTATGACAAATGAAACGTATGCATACTCCTATGACATACAGCATTTTTACAAGTGCATACCTCCAAGAAATTCCCGGTACTGTAGTTAAATAAATCAATCCCTCCAACTTTTGTTATTGAAAAAATAAATACTCCTAGCATGAAAATTGGTATAATAAATGAAATTAAAAATGTCATTTCAATACACTCGAGTCCATGAATTCGCATTATGTGCTTATGTGATTCCCGTGGCGTTTGTGATACCTCAGTCGTTGTCGTCATGCTCATGCGTGGCTGCCTGCTAAATAATGTGCGCTCATTTGATGGGTGTCATTGGATAGAGATTCCGACACTTGAATAATTAATAGAGACAATCTAAGGAGCCGGCTTCTGTTTCCCCTTTTTTCTGTTTGGGCAAGATTGCCTGGGAGCTGAGCTTTCAATGCAGACTTTGCCATCGAATTCATGCAGCTTGCAACCTCCGTCCCAATAATGCTGTAGGTCGACGGGTGTGATGAGGAGATTGTCCTACGTGTGACCCACAAGATGAGGAGGAGAGGGAAGAAAAAAAAGCAGCACACACACACACACACACACACACACACACACACACACACACACACACACACACACATATCCAACCACAAAATCTATTTCCATTTTGAAAGTAAAAATAAAACAAAAGCCCATTACCGCCCCGGCTTTGTTTAGCTACATA